TATCTTGCCGGTCCCTCCACAGGAGGACCCGACGATCGGGGGTACCGTACGCGATCTCGTGCTGTCTCAAAGCGAGCTAGCGGCCATTTCCCAACGCTGACGCGTGTCCTAGGATCGGCTGCCCTTGGGGGGGGGGGGGGGGGTGCGGCTGCGGCAAGAACGCTTGCTGCGCTTCTTGGCTGGCGATCCCAAGTCAGTTTTGATAGTCTAGTTGCTAAGCGGTAAACGAAAGCTAATCAACTCTTCTTCAATGCAAATGGGGCATTCAAAATTTCCATTCGGTAGATTGGTGAGATTCAGTGCCGGCGATCCACATACGTCAGGACTGACCGCTCGTTTTAGCAACAGATGAATAGATGAAGAGGTCCCTGCTTGTCTCCAACAAATCAGACATCTGCATAGATTACTGCGTGTGAGTGTTTGTCTGTATGAATAGATTATTAGTGTATGAATGGAGCACTACCGTACCTCTCGAGGTAGTTTCCAAAAACCAGTTCATATGAAATTCTATTTGTCCACGAGTGATGAAGAACCAGCAGTGACCTTTTGCGTTTGCCAGCTTCGTGACGTCACCATTCTGGCCATGCTGTATACTATACAGCATGGCCAGAATGATGCAACGAGATGTTTGTTGCACTATACAGAGTATAGTGCAGCACTATCACTATCACACATGCTATACAGAGTATAGTGCAACAACATCTCGTTGCATCACATGCCGCCAGGGTGACATTATTTCCCGCCAAAACGTCCACAGCAATTGTTCCCCGATCTTCGCACGGCCAGTACTCGACCTGGGACACATCGCCCAAGCTCTAATACCCTCGCTATCGCAGCTCATGAGCGCATGAGTTCCGTCGCCTTCTCTTTCGTGCGACTAATCCCCCTCAAGCGCATCACTTGTATCCGACCGCTCAGTCGCTCCTTGGGCACATCTACAAGGCCCACCATGCGCGATCAGAGCGCCCCCACCATCACTGACGCCGATCGTCTACTCAAGGAGCGCTTCGGCCACGACGAGTTTCGCCCCGGCCAACGTCGCGTTATCGAGCACATACTCGCTACTGCGGCCACTCCATCATCCCCGGATATCTCCCACCACAGAGCAGGTCGCGCGCTCGCCATCTTTCCCACGGGCGCGGGCAAAAGCCTCTGCTACCAACTCCCAGGTCTCTTGTTTCAGGATGGGTTGACCCTCATCGTCTCCCCTTTAATGGCGCTCATGAAGGATCAGACGGACTCCATGGTTCAGAAAGGCTTGTCGGCTGCTTGTCTGGATTCGTCACTCACCGCGTCTGAGACGCGGGACCTCTTCCAGCGGGTACGCGACGATGATTTGCGCATCCTGTTTGTGTCTCCCGAACGCTTTAAGAATAGTCGCTTCCTCAGACTTATCCAGAATACTCGTATTGCGCTGTTTGCTGTCGATGAGGCCCACTGCATTTCGGAATGGGGTCACTCCTTTCGCCCAGACTACCTCCGTCTCTCGCGTTGGGCGGACAGACTCAACTGTCAACGAAGGCTAGCTCTAACCGCCACAGCTACACCACGTGTCGCTGAGGATATATGTGCGGCATTGAATATTCCTTTCCCCTCTGCACAAGTGCGCCTTGCCTCCGTCCGCAGAAACCTCACATTGCGCGTCTCTTCCATCCCACCGGCCCCGCACGATGGATACCAGTCTCTTACAGACAAGCTACAAACTCGGATGGATGTGTTGGTGGAACGCTTGCGCTCGCGCGACCCTGGACCAACTATTATCTATGTTACTTTACAGGCGACTGCGACATTTGTTGCCAGCGAGCTGCGAAGGCATGGATTCATCCAGGCCGCCTCTTACCATGCAGGTATGAGGCAAGACGACCGTAAACAGGTCCAGGACGACTTCATGGCGAACAAGAAGGATGCAATAGTTGCGGCAACTATAGCGTTTGGGATGGGCATGGATCATTCTGGCATTCGCTACGTGTACCATTTCAATATGCCGAAGTCTCTTGAGGGGTACATTCAGGAAATTGGCCGTGCTGGCCGAGATAGCCAGCAGTCTATTTGCGAGACACTAGCCTGTGTTGATGATCTCCCAGCTTTGGAAGGCTTTGCGTACGCGGAGACGCCAGCTCTATCTTCTGTGTGCGATCTTATGAATCATTTGCTTGGTGATGTCAAAGAGGGGCAGTATATTGAGTATAGTACTTACGATCTATGCTACCAATTTGACATCCGCGAAACGACTCTCGGTCAAATTCTGGCCCAACTTGACCTGGCAGAGAACGTGCTCGAGGAAAGCACACCATTTTTCGCCGAATTATCGTGCCGTTTACCCCCAGCTTCAGCGAGGAGGATACCCCCGTTGGGTTCTGAGGCCAGAAAGGTTTGGGATTTCGGAAAGATGGGGAGACTAAATCTAGGGATTGATGTCTTGAAAGTTGCAAAGGAACTGGATATACAATACGGTCGCGTATCAAGGCTATGTGATGATATGGTCAACGAGGGATACCTGGAGAATATCAATTCCAGGAAACTAATGCATCGCGCTCTCATCACATCTCAACCCACTGACCTTGGCGCTGTCTCTCGACGGTTGCATGCCAAACTACTTTGCACTCAGAAACAGCAACTGAAACGTATTAGTCAGGTTGTTGATTATTTAAGTGCCAACGAATGTCAAAGCGCTTATCTTCAACATCATCTCGGTGATGAGGTCGAGTCTGGTCGATGCGGGCACTGCGAATTTTGTCTTAACGATGGAAATCAGCCTGTAAAAATTTCCGAAGCTGTACGGGAGCGCGTGGGAAAGACTCTAGATGAGAGACGTTGGGCGCTCATACAACAAGCGGCAATCCCAAAGGATAACGCTCTTTTAATGGCAAGGTTTGCTGCCGGTGTTTCATCACCAGTGATCTCCAGAAAATATCGCAAGATGGGAAATTTTGGATCCATGTCGGACCATGCCTTCACAACTCTACTGACCGCGGCGAAAAAAGAATGCGGCGAGACGTAGTCCTACTTCGTCCTTGGATGTGGATACATTAGGCTTGAATTGGAGTGAATTGTGTGACTGCGGAATACAATACCGTTTTGTCCGAGCAGAGTCTGAATTTTGTTCGCCTTGCTTGCGTCAGACTCACTTCGATATGTTAAAATCTCAGATTAAACTTGACTTCAGGAGGACACCTGCATGTGGAGGCCAACTATCCACACGCCCCTTCTATGGTGTCTTCTAACAAATAGATCTCGGTAAGTCTGATCAGTTGCTGATTCATGGAAAACCGTGGAAATCGATCTCTACTTTTGAGTGCGAAGACGTCGCACTGGGAATGCTTGAAAAATGACCCGATGTTTGAGATCCATTTGAAATCAGAACTCCCTTCCGCACAGCTCAAGCTGTTTCGACACAAGAGTTGTGGAGATGGCGCGACAGACGAAATCCTGCTTAGGTTGTTGAGGTGAACAAACCCAAATCGCCAAAGCTCATACAACTCTCAGGTTGAAGTAGTCTCTTTTGCACCCAACAAGCTAAGCATGGCAGCAAATCATGGTCTCGCACTCCTTGCGCTCGTTGCAATATTCTCCCAATTTAGAAGCCGCCTGTTCAAGCCTCTGTCCGATGTCTATGCGAAACTTGTCCGCGATTCTGCCACCATCTGTTGAGATTTGCCGGATTCCTTCGGTTTAGATATAGCGGGGATTTAGAGATTGAACAAAGGGCTAAGCAGTGCCTACCCATCTTGTACGCCTAACTGTCTTCTCTCGCGTTGCAATGTATGGTCTGATCAATCTCAATTCCCGTTTCTTCAGATATTTGTCGAATATCCTTGTTCAGCTGTCCTCTGTCTGCTGACTTTCATGACGAGTCAGCAAGTAGAAGAAGAGTCCCGTCTCTCTGCTTCCTCTTCAATTCTTGATATTGTTGCCCCAGAGCCTCAGCAGCAGCTCTGTTCTCGGCGGGGTCATTCGAAATGCGGCTCAACCATTTTCTCTGTTGTCTTAGGGAGCGAGAGAGTGTGAGAGAGTCATTAATGGAGCTTGACATATTGATGGCGGAGTTGATCATGCCCTGTGTTTCATGCCCTATTGTTCCGCGGTTGAGTGTAAGTCCACTCATTATGGCCCATACATTTGCCACGACTTGGTTGTTGTCTCCCTCAGGTTCGTGTACAATTTTAAGAACAATTCGCAGTGCCTTTTCAGAATCTAGCACGTCATGGTTTCGCATCTGATGAACAGCGATGGCGAACCATGCCATCCCAAGGACTCGCCTGTTTCCGAATCTCGTATCTAGCCCCTTTCTCTGCGCTGCCTCGATCGCATCCATTCCCACCGGCATGTCTGGCGCAATACCTTCTGGTCGGAGATTCCCACTCAGGAGTGAAGACAACGACTGTGCGATCTGCCATGTGTCGGATACAATGCTATTTCCATCGCGGTCCTTGAAGCGTTCTGAAGAAAGAACGAGATCAAGAAACTCTCGAGAAATCATAGCTGATGAAAGCTTGCCACGCAGGCTGTAAAATTCGGCGGCCAAAAGCAAAACTGCGCATCTCGATACAACCTGGGACACGGGCAATTCCGGTGGAAGAATATTGTCAAAGTGAGCAGCGTGCCCGCTTTCAATGCGCTTTATTTCGGTTCTTGATTGCTGATCTGAAAAGGCTGTCTTCAAAGCAGCAGATATTAGAGGGGCGGCCTCGCCGAGATCAACCGACGTTAACCTAATACGTGCGGCAGCTTCGAAAAGAGCTGTGGCCAAGAGTGCAGGTGTCCTCGGTGGTACGCCCGGAACTCGCAGTGAGGAAGGATCAAAAGATTGAATGGCGTCCGGATGTATGCCGAGTTTGCCAAGAGCGGTGAGAGAGTAGTTGGAGCGGCGCTTCTCCTCATCGACTGGGTTGGTGGCTATGATGATATGACAGGTGAGAGCACTAAGCATTGGGGACGGGAGCCACGTCCAGACACCGCTCTTGTGGTGATTTTCTTTCTGCAGGTTTCGAAGCTTGCCGTAAAACTTGCGCAGACCCTTGATAGCCATCTTGTGAGCACCGGCAAGGTCACCCGTTCGCAAGTGCTGGCAACCGAGCATGACAAAGTAGCACAGGGCCAGATAGACGAGATCGGCTCTTGTTGATATGGTGGGGTTGGGATTGCGAGACAAAGCCTGCAAATTGGTGTATGCATCGCTAAGCATGGGGTCCAGGTCGCAAACGTTCGGGCTTGGACTGGAAAGTGCAATGTGACATTGAGTGAGGTTGAACGCGACCGCAGCGGTCTTATCTCCATGATTGGCGCACTCATGTGCGGCGTCCCCGGCCATGTGCATGATAGTCGGGGACGAGATGCGCCTAGCGACAGCATTTGCAATTGCGCAGCATTGGAAGTAGGCCCACCAGTGGGCAACTAGCCGCGGCTGCAGGGCGACGAGCGAGAGGAGATGTTGGATGGCGGCTTTGATTTCGCGGTGTGCGGCGTTGTGATCCTCGATGAAGGTGTAGATGTTCTCCAGCAAGGCGAAGGCGGAGAGGGGTAGCTTGGCGACATCCGGGATGCTGCGGGTGAGAAGGAGGCATTTGCGGAGGTGCTGAATCGCCCGGGTGCTGTCGGGTTCTTCGTGGAGGCGGAGTTGGTCGTGTGTGGCGGCGGCGAGGTAGAGATAGAGGTGGCGTGCGGAGGAGTATAGGGCACGGGCCTGCACGCGAGGGCTGATGCCTCGGACAGAGGAGGCGGTGGAGAAGAAGAAGGCGGCGGGGCGGTGGTGGTTTGCAGCGGCAAGGGTGTTTGCCTGGCGGATTAGAAGAATTGCTTGTGGAGGCGTGCCCTCCATTGCGGGTAATGCAGGTGGTGCAGACTACAAATGAGGAAGGCGGAAGGCCATGGGGGGTGAAGGGCAGACATATATCGAGGGAAGGGGAAGGAAGAGGACGGGGTAGGAGGGTTTGACGGTGGTGAGGGGTAAGCGGACGGCAAGCTTGGACATGGTGTTGGTGATGCGCGCAATTGAGGCAGGCGCGGTCTCCCGGGCAAGCAAGACAGAGGCGTAGTTGGTGGCACGGTCCGAACGGTCCACGCGAGTGCGCCAAACGAAACGCGTTAGAATTTTTGGTGGGAAACCGCCTCGCCCACAATTTCTTTATCCGCGTCGTAATTGCCATTTGCACGACGTATACGTGGACACCGTTCAAGCATCGCAGGCGCATCTGCACAGAGCTCTATTCATGAGAGCGATACAGCAATGCATGGGACGATGTCGCACCTGTCCAGAAACGGACTGGAGCGCCCTCGCTTTTCGCGCCAAAACCACATCCTGTTACCCCCCTCATCACAACCCGCCGGCATGGATCACAAGGCAGCCATACCGAAACGTCAACCCCCTCTGCCGCAACCTCCCCGTCCCGCCCCTCCCCGCCCCGCCCCACCCCCGTCCTCATCCGCCTGCAGGAGAATGGTTCGCAGCGCCCGGTCGGCCCACCCACCACCCTCGGAGGTCGTGGCGCGCCGCAAGCGGCGTCGCGCCTCCTCCGCTCTCTCGCCGCAGCCTTCCCCCCCGCCGCGCCGCCCGAGCTCCGCGGACGACATGCGCCGCTCCTCGAGGGAGTCCACCATCCCTTCGGCAGAGAGACACTCGCGCCGCTCGGCAGCCTCCTCTCCGCTCGTCGTAGACCTCGACGACGACGAGCAGTGCCAGTTCGTCGCGCGTTCAGACCCCCCGCGCCCTATTACACGCTTCCCCGGCTTTCGCAAGGGCAACATCGTCAAGATTCAGATGAAGAACTTTCTCACCTTTACCAATACCGCCATTCATCCCGGGCCTTGTATGAATGTCATTCTCGGTCCGAACGGCACAGGGAAGTCCACCGTTGTCAATGCTGTTTGTATTGCGTTTGCTGGCAATCCGAAGTTGCTGGGTCGCAGCCCGGATCTCGGTGCCTTCGTTAAGCACGGCGAGGACCGCGCCACGGTCGAGGCTATATTGTATGATCCGGACCTCCCTCACGGCACCCGCACTGTGACGAGGTCGTTTGACACAGACGGCAAGAGCTACTTTGAAATTGATGGCGAACGCGCCAGACAATCTGATGTTATCTCTAAAGTCAATCGAGTCTACGATATCCAACTTGACAATCTCAGTCAATTCATGCCGCAGGAAAAAATCGCTGACTTTGTCAACCACAAACCGGAGGAACTCCTTGCCATTGCTGTCCGTTCCTTGGGAGGTACCGAAAAAGAAAGAGAGTTTGAAGACTTGACATCCCTGGATAGGACTGTCAGTAACTTTGCCCAAGAGTTAAACCAGAAGGAGGCCAAGCTTTCAGAAATGCTCGAACAGCAAGCCGCCGAAGAAGCAGAGGTACAAGCATACCGTCAACAAAAACAAGCTCAAAGACGCTTGAAGCTTTACAAAAAGTATTTGCCATATCTTGAAAGCAAGCAGCTGAAGTTTGCCTTTGTTCATATGCTTTCAATCCGCAAGCAGGCTGAAGAGGAGGCTGCTGTTTTACATCAGGAATACCAACGCATTCAAGCTGGGGCCTTGAACGGTTTGCAGCAAGAAGTCGATGCTGCGAGAGAAACATTTCTTGCTACCAAAGAGGCCTCGAAAGTTCTTAGCAATCGCGCATCCGCTCTGATTGGCGAAGTAGATAGGATATCTGTTGTTCTCTCTGAGAAATCCAAGGCCGTGGAAGACCTTGAGGGGAGGCACGAGAGGCACCAAAAGAGAATTGGTGACACAAAAGTTCGCCTCGCCCAGGAATTACAACAAGCCCAAGAACAAGATGGCCCTGTATCAGAGCACACAATAGAAGAAGAAAGTGCGAGGCTGAGAGCCCAGAAAGACAGAATACGAAACGACTATTCTGCTGAAAACGCACGGAAGGGCCCCATTGACCAACGGCGACAAACCTCTGCACGCAAGATTAAGCATTACAATCACCGACTCTCCCAGTTGGGGGATGTTAGACAAGAGAGAATTCGCGCATTGAGTAGAGCTCGAAATGCGCCCAGGCATCTTGGGGATTGTGACATGCTCGTGCGAGATATGAAGGCCAGTGGAGCTTTCCGTGGACACGTCTTTGGCCCTGTGGCGGCAGAGATTGAAGCAGACAATCCATACCATGCGAGGATCATGGCTGCGTGTGTCAGCGGCTTTATTATGACAGCCTTTGTGACGGAGACTGCTCGGGATTCTAGGTTACTCATGAGTGAATGCAGGAAGCGATTCTCCGGATGGTCCCCAGATATTATTTCCGCCCCCACCACATCTAACGATGAGCCTGACGACTACGCCATTCGATCACAGGTTCCTGCCAGGCCAGTTGACGACAAGTTGCGGAGACTTGGTATCGTTTCTGTTGTGAGTGACATCTTTCAGTGTCCTCCTGTGGTTCGCGCTGCTCTCAATGCGCAAGTTGGGTTGCACAACATTCATGTGGGGTCTGAGCAATGCGACACATTCAGAGATGAGCTCCGTCGAGAAGATGGTGTGCAAGCCTGGTTTTCACCTACTTCGCGTTGCCAAGTTTTGCGCTCACGGTTTGATGCATCGGTGCGCAATTTGAGCGTAGAAACTAGCTTCGCCACCCGCAGAGGTTCCTTGTTTGAGGGGAGCATGAATGAAACCGTGCAAGAGAAAAACAGACTAGGAAACATGATCCGGGAAGAGGAAGATCTTCTTCGCCACGCAGGTCAGCAAATGCAAGACGTAGAGGGGAGACTAGAAAATCTCTCTGCAAACTTGCGTGAGATTAATGGGAAATTGCAAGAAGCTCACCAACGACGGCAGGCTCGAAGGCAAAGAGCGCAAAAAATTGAGAAGATCAAGAGTGATTTGCAAAGTTATGTTAGAGAGGCCGCTTCGCAAAATGTGGAGAAGGAAAAGGTAGAGCTGGGGAAAGAGATTCAAAGACTTCAAGATGATTCCAACGCAAAGATACCGTCCGCAGTTGTGAAGCTCAAGAAACTGCGAGACACCGTGGGAAGACTAGACGAACAGCTGGCGAAGCGCTTGGATGCAGAACGCCGTTTAGAAGCAGAACAGGCAAGTCACTCTGCCTTCCAAGCGCAAATAAACGAAAAGCGGCGAGAAGTTGAACAAGCCAAGAAGGCATCGAAAGAGGCAAGAGGTAGATGGAAAGCGAAACTGGCTGAAGCAAAAGAAGTGCTGCCACAGCAGCAAATTGACGCAAATCCAGAATTTTTTGACGTTATTGCAGAAAAAGATGTGGAGTGGCTCACGCAGGAAATTGCACGACAAGAAGGGGAAGTTGAAGGCCTCGGAAGTGGAGGGAGGCAGGCGGTCTTGGTGTATGAGCATCGGCAACATAAAATTGACAAATTGCAAAATGATGTCGATGCTGATCGGGCTACTAACAAGGGCAAGATGGAGGGCTTGAAAAAGAGGAAGTTGGCATTTTTGGACTGGCTCCAAGCGGGGATCAATAAGATGAGAGCTAAGTTTTCTAACCTATATAGGCGATTAGGTTGTGCCGGTGACCTCGAACTTGCCAACAAGGACTCTGAGCGTATTGGAGACTTAGAGTTGCAAATCTTGGTTTCGTATCGTGATGATGCAGAACTTCGGCCCATAAGTTTTTCCGGTAACAGCGGCGGGGAAAAGATGTGCTGCACTATGCTCTTCTGCTTTTCACTGCTTCTAGAAGAAGAGAGGATACCACCGTTTGTATTCGTGGATGAGTTGAACCAGGGCCTTGATCCATCGAACGAAATGAAGATCATGACCATGATGTTTGAAGATGCGCGTAGTGCGACCGCACCACAAAGCTTTGTCATCACGCCTAAGCTTTTGCTGGATCTTCCGTTTCACGAACAGACGAAGACACACATTATTTTTAACGGCTCGGTAACTGGAAAATTAGATGTAACTGCGGCTACAGGTGTGTGAGGGCTTCAAAGATGAAGGGATTTTGTGTTCAACTTATTTGCAAGTACTAGAAATCGTTGACTTCAAGTAGCTGGTCATCTTTACTCTGCGAGCCTTCCAGACCTCAGGGAGGTGCATCAACCTTTATTAAGCTCCATGTTTTCAACATGTTTGCACCAACAATCTGTAAAGTACGGGGCAATGTTGTCCTGGTTCAGATGAAAATCAAGAAGGCCAGTCCAGGTCACGAAAAACTGCGCTGCCACAGGAACCATAGGTGGACACTTATTTACATGATGCGTGAAATCTAAAGCTATGGCTAAGCCGAGACGTTGAAAGCCGCCCCAACCGTTAGCCGACAGCACTGGGCTCCTCGTGACGAGAAAGCACCGAGCGTCGAAATCGTAGAAGGGTGGATTTGCCAGAGAGTACTGTAGCAATATTTTTTGGATCAATTTTACAGTGTATTAGCTCTATTTGGTTCGGACTCTGGGATCAGGCACACACCTCTTCTGCATAGCGCCGCACCGCTCCTTCAACTGTTGCGCAAGACCCGTCTTCGTAAGAAAGGCGCCTGTCAAGGTCTCGCACTTCAATTTTTTGGACATCAGCTGAAACCCTTGCCACGGCGGGAATTGCAAACATCGAAAAAAGTGGCACGAGGGCAATATGTGAAGTGACGACAGATGGTACCACCGACGGAACGACGTGTAACATTTGCCGCGGCGGAAAGTTGCGGAAGCGGGGCGAGCGCTATTGAGATCGCAGACCAACCAGCCACAGCATCTGACGGAATCACGCCAGTCGGGGAAGCGATTTCGCGGAAGCGGTCGAGACCGGCGATCGTGGAAGAGGTGCCCTGCAGCGGGAAGCAGGACGAACTTTCTCTCTTTAAGGACAACGAAGAAGATGAGGGGCTGACAGCGTTCGACATCGAGGAGGAGCTCGCGGGGGGGGACAAGCTAACCGAGAAGGACGGGGTGATCCCGAAGGCGCTGGCGGCTCTAGCCGTCGACAAAACGCCATCAGTGTCGTCGTCCTCCGGCGAGGAGGCCGGGGACGCAGAAGAGGCGAAGAAGCAGAAGGCGCGAGAAAGGAAAATGGCGGCCGATGAGGGCGAGTGGTCGGACCAGGAAGCGGGCGGCGACGAAGAGAAGGGGGACAGGGCGAAGCGGCGGCGCGTGGGGCGTGTCGCGGTGGGTGATCTAGGCGAGGAGATGTGTGCGGTGGCGGCGCGGCTGCGCGTGGAGGAGACGCCCGCCAAGCTGGTGCGGCGGTACGGACGCGACGGGGACACGGACGGAATCGAGAGGGTGACGGAGGCTTGTCAGGTGCTGATCGAGGGAGGGGTGCCGGATGTGTACGAGACGCGCAGGGAGGGGCTGCTCGCGAAGTGCGGGGGCTGGAGGCTCAGGTGGAGTAATGATGAGGGGGGGACCGTGCACGGCCCGTTCGATGCGGGGCAGATGCGCGCGTGGGGAGAGGCGGGGTACTTTGCGCAAGAGGGGAACAGTGGCGTCGTGCAGGTCGGGGAGGGGACGTGGTGGGCGGCGGACAAGCTGTTTCCGCGGAAGACGGGCTAGTCGGAAGACTGAAGAAGGCTAGAATAGCTGGTTTGCGGTGCGTGCAGGGGTTGGGGTTGTGGTTGCAAGAGATTCGGGCTGCTGTTGGTGATGCTTGACTGTTGCGGTCCGTGACTGCACGGCCGTTGAGTTGCGTGCTTGAAGCAAAGAGAGGGAGAGGTCAAAGAGGACGGGGGGGGGTTTGGGAATTTAGAGATTTACGAGGGAAAGAGAGTAGATCCTCAGTGTGAGCCAATGGCGACCGCCAAATTTAGGTCTCGCTCCAAATTTTCCCGCCGTTTCAGGCCAAACGCCTTTCCCCCACAACCTTCGCCGCGAAGTAACCGCTCCCAACCCCCTAACGCCCCCTCGCCCAATAACCACGTGCACCAATTCCTCCCACCCTCATCCACCAACTGCGCACATTTTCGTCTCGCGCGCGAAACGCCTCCCGCTTCCCCGCAAGCAAGACTCCACACCCGCTGGCCTGCTCGACATTTACGAAAGTATGGTGTGCTTGAGAAAACATCTCGCATGACGGCCAGTAAGGTCTTTTTTTGGAGAATATTCAACATTTATGCGCCGGGATCAGGCAACTGGACCCCTGCCAAAACGCTTTTCTCATGTACAGTACACGTGTAGTGAATGCCGCTCTGCAATTGTGATCTCATGTCGATAGACAATACT